ATATATTTTATTGATTTTTTAGAGAGGAAGAGAGAGAGATAGAGAGCTAGAAACATCGATGAGAGAGAAACATCGATCAGCTGCCTCCTGCACATCTCCCACTGGGGTTGTGCCCACAACCCAGGTACATGCCCTTGACTGGAATCGAACCCGGGACCTTTCAGTCCGCAGGCCAACGCTCTATCCACTGAGCCTGGAGTGGGGGTGTGGGGCACAGCCAGAAACCCCCACCCCTGACCTGCTATCATTCACACCTGGCCTCAGGTTGCCTTGTCCTTGTGAGCCAAGTCCCACGAACATGAAAATATAACCTTTTTAAATTAAGAAGGACCACCACCCTAGTCAGTTTGCTCAGTGGTTAGATAGTTGGCCAGTGGACTGGAGGGTCGCCGGTTTGATTCCAGTCAAGGGCATACTTGTAACTACTCGGTTTCGCTTTGGACTGGATCCCCAGCACAGTTGGGACGCATGCGGGAAGCAACCAATCAACGTGTCTCTCTCACATTGATCTCTCTCTCTCTCTCTCTCTCTCTCTCTTTCTCCCCCCCTCCCTCCCTTCCACTCTTTCTGAAACCAATGGAAAAAATATCCTCAGGTGAGGATTAAACAAACAAACGACAACAATAAAAAGAAAACTGAATAACAGATCAGAATGCACTCCTGCCCCACCCCAGGCAGGTGCATGAGTCTCCCTGTGCCTCCATTTGCCCCTCTGTAGCAATCAGGAGTACATAATGAATTTTGCCTAAATTATATTTGCCTTTATAGCAGCACAGTTGTAAAATGTAATTTTTAAAATACAGTATTTTTTCATGGAAGAGGCCCACGAGACAAACGTTCCTAAGACCCTGGAAATGAATTGTGTGGCTCTGCTTAACCTATTTTGCAGGGGGGAAACTTTCAGCCAGGGTCCAGTTTGGGATACGTATGAGCTCCGTGTAGTCCACCCAGGAAGCTAGGAATTTCCGTGGGGTGCGCGCGCCATCTGCCGGGAACCTGCGGAGCTGCAGTTTCGGGGCAGGACTGGCGCCATCACCCGCGGCTCCCGTCTGGGGCCGCTAGATGGCGCTGCATCGCCTGAAAACCAGTTTGCTGGGTCAGATGGGGAAACAGGCCCGCTGAATTTTTTTCTCATATGTAACATAGCGCCTTCTGGATGCTCCATGGTGGAGTTGCTAGGTAAAATGCAGTACTGAGCCTAGCTGGTTTGGCTCAGTGGATAGAGCATCAGCCTGCGAACTGAAAGGTCCCAGGTTCGATTCTGGTCAAGGGCACATGCCCAGGTTGTGGGCTCGATCCCCAGTGGGGGACTTGCAGGAGGCAGCCGATCCATGATTCTCTCTCATCATGGATATTTCTATCTCTCTCTCCCTCTTCCTTCCTCTCTGAAATCCATGAAAATATATATTTTTAAAAATGCAGTACTGGGCCCTAACCAATTTGGCTCAGTGGATAGAGCGTCGGCCTGTAGTCTGAAGGGTCCCAGGTACAAGTCCAGGCTCGATCCCAATCAAGGGCACATGCCCGGGTTGCTGGCTCGATCCCCAGTAAGGGGCATGCAGGAGGCAGCTCTTTCATTGATATTTCTATCTCTCTTTCCCTCTCCCTTCCTGAGATGAGTCTCCCTGTGCCTCCATCTGCCCCTCTGTAGCAATCAGGAGTACATAATGAATTTTGCCTAAATTATATTTGCCTTTATAGCAGCACAGTTGTAAAATGTAATTTTTAAAATACAGTATTTTTTCATGGAAGAGGCCCACGAGACAAACGTTCCTAAGACCCTGGAAATGAATTGTGTGGCTCTGCTTAACCTATTTTGCAGGGGGGAAACTTTCAGCCAGGGTCCAGTTTGGGATACGTATGAGCTCCGTGTAGTCCACCCAGGAAGCTAGGAATTTCCGTGGGGTGAGCGCGCCACCTGCCGGGAACCTGCGGAGCTGCAGTCTCGGGGCAGGACTAGCGCCGTCACCCGCGGCTCCCGTCTGGGGCCGCTAGATGGCGCTGCATCGCCTGAAAACCAGTTTGCTGGGTCAGATGGGGAAACAGGCCCGCTGAATTTTTTTCTCATATGTAACATAGCGCCTTCTGGATGCTCCATGGTGGAGTTGCTAGGTAAAATGCAGTACTGAGCCTAGCTGGTTTGGCTCAGTGGATAGAGCATCAGCCCGCGAACTGAAAGGTCCCAGGTTCGATTCTGGTCAAGGGCGCATGCCCAGGTTGTGGGCTCAATCCCCAGTGGGGGACTTGCAGGAGGCAGCCGATCCATGATTCTCTGTCATCATGGATGTTTCTATCTCTCTCTCCCTCTTCCTTCCTCTCTGAAATCCATGAAAATATATATTTTTAAAAATGCAGTACTGGGCCCTAACCAATTTGGCTCAGTGGATAGAGCGTCGGCCTGTAGTCTGAAGGGTCCCAGGTACAAGTCCAGGCTCGATCCCAATCAACACATGCCCGGGTTGCTGGCTCGATCCCCAGTAAGGGGCATGCAGGAGGCAGCTCTTTCATTGATATTTCTATCTCTCTTTCCCTCTCCCTTCCTGAGATCAATAAAATATACTTTAAAATAAATAAAATACAGCACTGGTTTTAAATTTGAATATCATATAAACGACGAATAATTTTAGGTATATCCCAAATATTGCACGGGATATACTTATGCTAAAAAATTCTTTTTCATTGTTTATCTGAACTTGAAATTAACCCCTCTTCCTACCCACCCAGACCCCTGGGGCTACCGTGGCCCTGGGCTCATCCTACCCCTCCCAGATGGTCTGTACTGTCCTATGACTGGTCCTGGCAGCCCAAAGGATAAGAAGACTAGTCACAATAATTAAATAACACATTGAAAGCCATCGCCACATACCTTGGATCATATTCCTCCCTGCTGAGAAGCTTCCCATGACTCCCATAAACCTGGGGAACAACCCAACTCACCCCTGCTGTTTGCAAGGTCCCCCCACTTCTCCCTCCTCTATCTCCCTTCCTCAGGGACTGAGGTCTCTGGTCTCGAATGTTGGGGTAGGGTCTTATGCAGCCCATCTCCTAAAGCACATAGCATTGCCATCTTCTCGGGGGCATTCCCCCAAGTTGCCCCCCATTTTGCAGGCCCAGGGGAGCTGCCCCCTCTCCAGGGCCCAAGTCCTGCTCACCCCTTGCAGGATCCCAACCTCTAGTCCCAGGGCTGCCTGTAGTCTAATGGCAGCAGGTAGCAGGGAGGCCTCCACCTTTAGGCTATTAAACATCCAGCAGCTGTTACACCCGCCCCCCCCCCCCCAACAAACACCTGAGGGAGGGGCCCAGAAGTCTGCCTGGGGAGGGGGAGTTTAGAGACCCAGGTTAGCTGGGGAAGGAAGCCATCCATAAAGGGCCAGGCCCCAGCTCAGTCTCCAAAGTGCAGGGGAGCCCCCTCCACACCCAGAAAGAGTCAAACGGATCAGAATGCACTCCTGCCCCACCCCAGGCAGGTGCATGAGCCTCTCTGTGCCTCCATTACCCCCTCTGTACAATGGGTCAATATTAATTCATTCCTTGCACAGTAATTTTGGGGACTGTATTTCCCTCTGTTATAAGGTCCCTTCCAGCCCCACCTCCCTGTAGGGATTTCTCAAATCCACCAGACATACCCTGTATCGGGGCCTTTGCACTGGCTGTGCCCTCCATCTGGTGTGCTCTTCCCCCACCTCTGAGTTCAGTTCACATTCCTTGGCCTCACCTCTTCCAGGAAGCTTTCCTGGACTCGTTCTAGTTACTTACAATGGGCACACATTTTCCCTTCATAACCCTTTCCACTACTATCACACTGCATCTCTCTAGGTAGGTTGCCACTTAGTAACCCTGTTGCCCGAGAGACAGGGGAACCTACTGGTGGAAGCAGGGCTGTTCACTGCCACTGTGCGGCCCAGTCCCTACCACAGGGGCTGGCACACAGAAGGGGCTCGAAAAACAGCGTCCATCTGAATGGATGTGAAGATAAGCTCAGGGCACACCCTGCATCTGCAGTTTTAAAATGATTCCTCTTTCTGAATGTCCCTTTCCATCCATTCACTTCATTTAAAAACCTTTTTTTAAATACTAGGTGTACCGGTTAATAATGCGGATTTTTTTTCAATAGCTGGAGTTACACATATGTTGATACATATGCGATTTGATATGTATGCTATTTTGTTGTATTGCTCCTTCAGATTGCCACTTGCTCCGATCGATGGCACATGCACTTTCTGAGCAGCACTTCAAAACATACAAAGAAGTGGAAAATTGGGTCTCTGAATGGTCTGCCTCAAAACAAGAAAAGTTCTATTGGGACTGTATCCACAAATTACCTGAGAGATGGGGGAAATGTGTAGCTAGCGATGGACATTACTTTGAATAAAGCACTTTTGGTGTTTCTCTTGAAATTATCGTGTTTTCTTTGATCACAAAATCCGCATTATTACGGTTAATAATTCGAATTATTAACTGGTTAATGCAAATTAACTATTAACCGGTTAAAAATTCGGATTAATTATTAACCGGTTAATAGTGCAGATTAACTATTAACCGGTTAATAATATGGATTAACTATTAATAAGAAAACACGATAATTTCAAGAGAAACATCAAAAGTGCTTTATTCAAAGTAATGTCCATC